TTGTTTACTCATCTATCCTTGTGCAAGTTACTCAAAAGTGTGGGAATGGCCTTTGTTCTCAAGAAGCTTCGAGTCTTCAGAAGTATCTAAATGGACATTTATAAGAATAATTGGAATGCAAAGATGAAACGTAGAATGTGATAAGTCTCACATGAGAGATACAGGTAAAGTGTTACATGGGTTCAAAGGAGGGAGAAAGATGACATGCTGAGAGCAGGAGAGCCAGTCACCTGTCCTTTCAGAGCAGCTTTCCCAAAAGGCTTTGTGGGTGACACAAGATAAACATAAGATGTGGTCCCTACCTTTAAATAATGTATAGTATACTAAGAGCTGTGAAGTATATTTCTTCATCCATATCTGACACTTTGACAACTCATCTTAGAAGTAACTTAAATGACAGTACCTTAGAGGGACCATGATTGCATTGTCAGGCAATATTTTTCAGTACCCAAATGTTCTGATTATTCTCTGTTTGCTTCTCAGATTTGTTTTCCACCTCTTTCTGTCTGTTCTGTATCCCAGGAGGCTAATCCCTATGCACTAGGGCTCCTTTGCCAGCTGGTTTTTGGACTCAGCCAGTGGGAGGCACTTGCAGGAAGAGATAGAAGGGCAGGTAGGGGTATTTTTCACCTGTTCCCTCCCTGCTTTGGGTCATATAACATCCTTGCTCCATGACAACAGCTCTTACTGGGCAGCCCTTCCTTAATAGCTTCCAGCTCCCTCTGGGCTCTGGTAACACTTTTTCCTCCCTTGTCTCTCTAGTCCTAGGGGTGCCCTTGTTTGTTTCCTTAACGCTGTTCGTATTCCGGAATAGAGTCCCTTCATTAAAGTTCTTTTCATTTGAACTTTCTGGGGCAATTTCTGTTGTCTACCAGAACCCTGATGGAGACGCTAAATACGTGTAACTGTAACTGAATACAGTGGTAGTCTTTGTAGTTACCGAACTGATGAGATAAAGCCAACTTAGACTGTGATCCCCCAGAGGTTAGAGTCGTGTATGATTCATTTTTTATATCCCCAGTGCCTAATGGAAGAAGTGCTTGGTCCCCAGTAGGCATTCAATGAATGTTTCTTCAAGTTAATAAAATCACTAGTGAGCCGAGTGATTTGTACTGACAGCGGTGTCCTTTCTGATGAGATTCTGCTCCACTATTGCTATTAAACAGAAGTTTTCCAGGATTCCTGTTTCGGCACAGTCAGGGTATGACAGCTCATGCTGAGCAAGGCACTTCAACACATGTAAGCTGTAATATTTGGTTAAATTTGAAGTCTGTACCTTACATGTTATTTTTTAAAGTACCCCCTTTCTCCATTTATCACAGATTTTTTGGACTGGTTTCCATCTTATTTATCTATCCAATA